TAAAAAAAAAAAAAAAAAAAAAAAAAGCTCATGCAATAACCAAATTCTTCTGCAGCTTGCAGAGAACGGAGAAATGCTGGAGCCCTGTATTTCCCTCACAGAAAGAAAAAGGCAGGCCTGCCCTGTAATATCTGGGGTTTTGTGGAAGTGACCTCTGCCCCCTTTGCTTTCCACACTAGCCTACCTTGCTCCAAAAAGCTTGCCTTGGGCCCTGATTTTATCTTCACTCATTCAGCAGACTTATTTTTTTTAATTTACTTTATTATTGAGAGTATTACAGATGCCCCCCCATTTCCTCCCCCTTGGCCCACCTCTATCCATCTCCCACCCCACCCCAGGCCTTCACCTGTCTGTTGTCTATATCTATGGACTATTCATATATGCTCATAAGTTCTTAGGTTAATCTCTTCCCACCCTCCTTCCCACCTTCCCTCTGAGATCTGTCAGCCTGTTTCATGGGTCTGTGGTCCTATCTTGTTTGTCAATTTATTTTGTTCCTTAGATCTCACTTCATACAAGTGAGATCATATGATATTTCTTTCTCTGACTGGCTTTTTTTGCTTAGCATAACTTTTGCTGAGTACCTACTGCATGCCAGGATCTCTGCTAGGCACAGGACCTGCAGGTGAAGGGGGAGCAGGCTTGGCCTTGAAGGAGCTATCACTTTCATAATTATTTACTCAACCACAGGGCAGGAAAGAGCAAAAGGAGAGTCCTAAGTGGTATTCTGTTGTGGGTTGTGGGCAGAAAAGAATTTTTCATGTCTGGGTTCCAGAAGGGTGGACTCACGTCCACACGGAAATAGCACACACACAGACAGGTCTGGTATGCAAATATCTCAAAGGCGTGGGGGTGTGGGGGAGCCCCAGGAGTCAGATCTGACAGAAAGCTGAAGGCACAAAACACCCAGGGCTGTGAATCGGTGCCAGCACTACCCTTAAATTCCATCTGGCAGGCTGTGGGCGTTTCCATTTTGTTTATTTTTTTAAAGGGAAGAGGAGATGGGGGAGAAGGGAGAGAACACAAGTTATTACTCAGCATTTCCATCGTGTTTAATGTTTGCAAAGCACTCCTGTCCTCACTTAGTCCTGAACTGCCTGAAATAATAAAGGAATTTGAGAACCCAGCCAAGAACTCCTAAGTACTTAGCAGATATAACAACCTATCACTGCATCTGGTAGGGCAAGCACTATTAAAAAAATTAATCCAATAAAATGAATACTATTTTTTAAATTAATCCAAAATAATAATCTCTGTAAAGCTGACATGCCATTGGGCAATGAATGAACTCACTAAACTCATGTTCTAAAGCTGCTCATTCACACCTTGACACACACCCGCTTTTACAGGATGGGCGCTGATGTCCTTCTCTGAGATGATAGAGGCCTATGGCTGACACACCAAATATTTTATAACAGCAATTAACAAGAAAAATCAGTTTCCTGCTGTCAGGAGACAGAACCTGGATCATCATATTAAAGATGCAGCATTGATAAAGCACCAGTTTTTTTATGATTGCCTATTGATGGGCCAGCGCTTCAAGCAAGCATCCTGCTGTGTGAGCTGCAATACACAAGGAACACCGAGGCTTCTGAACAAAAGCTTGGAACGTATGTGAAATGGATGCGTGTGTGTGTGTCTGTGCCTGTGTTTATATTTATAGTCAAACAAGCTCAGTGACCACCTCAGCTTGTCCCTAGAACTGCTACCTTTAAGCAATGTTCACCAGTCAATTGGGAAGCTATCTGTAAAGTATAAGTAGTATGCACTCTTAAAATTACCATAAATATGAATCTTATGAGGACAAAGTGCTTCCATTAGCTCTTTCAGAAAATATGTTGGGGTCATATAACAATGAAAAAAGAATTTTGAAAATGCATTTAAAAGACATCATCTGCTTTATTTCAGATCAACTCTCTACTCTCCTCCCACACTCAACAGGACAAATAGAAAAGCTGGACAACACACACACACGCACACACACTAAAGATCTAACATGGCAAAGTGAACAATTGCCAGGTCAAGATCTTAAAAAGACCAACTCAGAGATATGAGGCCAGAATTTGGAGCTGCGTTTATCTTGGAGCATCTGCTGAGTTAAGAAAAGGTTCCTGAGTGACTGAGCAGCATTTCTGACGGTTTGTGGGGCCAGGAGGGCAAACTGGAGCCCTGGGACTGCCAATGAGTTGGCTATAATTTCAGACAAGATACACTAAGGAAAAAAAGATTACTACAGATAAAGATAATGAAAAAAAGGTTTAACAAACAGAAATTAAAAGTTGAAATTGTTTAACGTTACAATGTTAAAATTGTATGCACCTAAAAACAGGCCTGAGAATATGTAAAGAAAGACAGCCATCACTATAAACTGACACAAACTGCAATCGTGGTGGAAGATTTAACACAGTTCTCTCAGTAACAGAAGCAACAGAAAAAAGGCAGCATGTAGTAGATTTGAAAACAAATAATGACAAATATATCAGAATCTATTTGTCATCTATAGAACTTTGCACCCAATGATCTTAAAATATGCCTTCTTTTCAAGCCTACAGGAAGAGTTACAAAAACCAAACATGTGCCTTTTCCTGTACAATGGAAAATGTGTGTTCACAGAAATGAGAGTGGTTTCATCTGGCCCCTGACAATGAGGTATGTGACCTAGTAAGGTCTGAAGAGGGCTGTGCTTTCACTATGCAAAGGGGTCCTTAGTGTCTTGGTGACCTGGGGACAGCACGGAATTGATGTTTGGCTGGACCTGAGACGGTGAGGATGACAAGAGGGTGGAGTGGGGAAAGTCCACATAGCCCTCCCCTCTCCCTGCCCCTGGGAGCTGCAGAACATTTGCAAGTGTGTGAAAGAGAGGACAATGCCAAACCCCAGCCCTCTGCCGAAAACCAAAGGGAGGCAGCAGTAACAGCGAATCTTCTGTGCAATCAGGCAGACGACAGCTTTTTTTTACAGCCGAAGCCTGCTTCCTTAGCTCCTGGCTGCCTCCCGTCTCCTCTTCCCCATCCTGCAGTGTTGTCAAGCCCCAGGAAGCTGCATCTGGATTCTAGACGAGCACCTTTGCCACTCAGCCATCACAGCCTTTACATGGGGGGCCGGACCCTGCAAATCCGGAGTGCCTGCTCTAACAAGGCTCACCGTATGACAAAAATCTGTGTAGTTTCCCACCTCGTTCCTGCCCCAATCTTCAGAGAATAAATGGGTCCTAAAAGTGGTTCTCTGCTTTGACCCTCAACTTCAGTGGCCTGGATACATACACGTTTATTGTGCTCTGGGGGTTTGGGTTAGACATGTGGATGCAGGCGTCCTGCTAGGATTTAGAGAACTAGAGTTGGAGCTAGAAGTTGGGGGTGGGGTGGGTGCTGACACGATCTGTGCTTATTAGACAAACAGGGAGTCCTGAGTGAGTCCTGTCCTACAGCCCACTCACTGATTAACTGGAACCACCTCCCTAGGCCAACCTAGTTGCGGGAAATACACTACAAGGCTTTCGAGACTGGCTGTAGTCCTGACCTAATTCTCTGCAAGAATCTCAGCAACCCCAGGAAGTCTCCTTCACTTCTCACCCCAGTCTGGCAGCATTTAGTGCCGAATAGAAGGAGCCACTTAATCAGTAGTGCCCCTTGGAGCCCCCACCAGCCCAGTGTCCCACGTGTCCCTCTCAAGCCAGCAAAGCACTGGGTCCTTCCGCGACCAGTAGTCGATCCCCACACAGCCACATACTTTGACTCTGGCGATGGGGTGGGTTCGCACGCATGTATTCAGCCGGCTGTTTTGAAATCACCCTCAGTATGAAATCGTATAACCTAAGGGCTTCCTGGATTTTCACCAGCACCCTCCAGGAAGTGAAACATGTTGATGTTTGCTCTGAGTGCCTCATTAATAAGTAACTTCCACCGCTTCTGCCTTTCGCCCTGTCTGGCAGGAGGCCACCCGGACTCACCCTCATACATCTCCAGGATGTGAACCGAGTCTCCGATCTGCAGGGACAGCTCCACATCTTGAGAGGCGTTGTAGTTATAGATCGCTGCAATGAGAAGGGAGGGGGAGAGGGCGTCAGGGGCAGTTAAAACTCAAATCACTCAGGAGCACATTCAGTGGTGAGTGAACCACTTAATCAACAAATTACCCTCTACTTAATGATTTCAGGTGAGGTACCCACCGAAAAGCAGGGAACACCCTCCTGGACCCCCATTACTGGTGTTTTACTGAGATTCCTCCACCCAACCAATACTGGCTGGTTGCCTACTATGCACCACATACTGTGTTGGGGACCAGGGGTAGAGAGACAAAACACACAGACATGGTCCCTGTCCTGGCGATTTTTATAGTCTTCTAGGAGAAGAAAGATATTGAATATACTATTACAGAAATAACTACTTAATTAAAATTATAAGAGTTATAAAAGAAAAAAACTACGCTACAATGAGAATATATTGTGGGGTTTTACTAGTCAGTCCCCTTGTTCATCAGACAACAGCCAGCCTATGACACCCCTGAGCTATGATGTCTAGGGCACAGATAGGGTGATCCATCCCCAGCTTCCCTGACAGTGACTGGTGACCAAGGGCTACTTGTGAGTCCAATATACCCTCCAGTAACAGACTGACATAGGGTGCAATGTGGGGATGGCCGCCTTGCCCCAGTTCTAGGCACCCTGGGGAACTGGGTTGTCCCAGCACTCCCTCAACGAGGTGACCTCAATCACCAAGGTCCTTAGGACTGGCAATTGCTAGGCCAGGCTGTGAAAATAGCAGACTAACTCTCATAACTCAGAAAGAAAAAGACAATACAGTTTTCAGATGGGTAACGCTCTGAATGGACATCTGACCAAGAATCATAATATGATGACCAATGAACATATCAAAAAGTGCTCAACAGCATTAGTCATCAGGGAAATGCAAATCAAAACCACAATCAGCTCCCACTTCACACCCACCAGAATGGCTAGAATTTTTAAAGACTGACAACTGGCAAGAATGTGAAGAAACTGAAGTCTTCATGCATTGCTGGTAGAAATGTAAAATGGCACAGCCTCTTCAGAAAAGTGTGGCAGCATCTTAGGAAGTTATACATAAATTCACAGCCCGGCCCAGCAATTCCACTCCCAGTTACCCACAAAGAGAAATGGAAACACGCCTACACAAAAACCTTGTGTGAATACTCATAGCTGCTGTGGTGGACAGAAAAACAGCCCCTCGAAGATATTCCAGATGAATGAAAGGATAAATAAATATGGTATATCCATACGATAGACTATTGCTCAGCAATAAAAAGGAACAAAATAGGAACACATGCTACAACATGGATGAGCTTCCAAATCGTTACGCTAAATGAAAACCATATAAAAAAACACATTTTAGGCTTCCATCTATTTGCAAGGTCCAGAACAGGCAAATCTATCAGACAGTAGAGTAAGTTATTGATTGCCTGGGGCTGGGGTGGGAAGGATGATTGAGTTCAAAAGGGACCTCAGGGGGTGATGGGCACATCACCCCCTAATAACGGATTGTGGTGATAGTTACTCAGCCGTGTAAGTTTACTAGAATTCATTGAATTGCATACTTCAAATGGGTGGCTTTTATGGTATGTAAATGAGACCTCAATAAAGCTGTTGTTTTTTAAAGTAGAATTAAGTCTTGTCCTCACTCTCTTGATGAGTGATCTGCATCCTTCCAGGGAATAAAAACCAACTTGGAGATTCAGTTCTAACCATTTACCCAGTGAGTCAAGGAACCTACAATATCCCCCATCTTGGAGCTCTGATGAGCACATGAGGGAGTCACTGATCCGTCTGCCAGATCCCAGGAAGGTGATTACAAAGGTTACTTGGGGCAAGGTGCTTACCCCTTCTGGGCCTCAGTTTCCTTATTAAATAATGTAGCACATGGCATCCGCTCCACTACCCCTGTCATTGCCAACTGTGGGTACTCACTGCTCTTTGCTGAGCCCGCAATGCATCACGTATCTCCCGCTTGGCATGGGCCTTCCCTTAGGTCACAGTCACTCTATCAGTGGGTGCGTGGGAGGAGCTCACCTCCAGCACATCTGCTTCAAGCGGCCTCTCTTTTCTAAGGGAACCACCCAAGTGGTGTTCTCCTGCAGTCTAGGCACAGAAGCCTGGACAAATTATGTGAGAATTTATTTCCTACTGAGCTTTTGGACTAGACTGTGAACCAGAACAAGGCTGAGCTGATGAGGGAGGTTAGGAGACACGGGCCAAAATTCAGAAGTAGGAGTTAGTTTCCCTCCCTAGGCCTCTCCGTGGGCCACCAGGCCACAGCTGCTGTTCCACTGAAGGTCCCCTCCTTCATCTGACTGCTTCATTTGACTCAAATGTTCTGCCCACTGAATATATGGCTGGTTTTGCACAGAAAATACAGTTCTGACATCCTTGACTCCCCCAGTCCCCGTTCGCTGCCTCCTGCTGAACTGGCTCCTTCCACCACCCTGCTCTCGGACAGAAACAGGAAGCAGTGGGGCTGCAGTGTCACGGTGTGTTGTGCAATGGCCACGGCGTTACCTCTTCCTTGTTATTAGTCATCAGGAAAGCAAGCAGAAGCACTCAAGGGCAGCACACAGACTGGCAGCTCCTGGCACAAATACCTCCCAAGCACTGTTGCACGTGAACTGTACACACACACACACACACACATCCCACAGACCACAGACCATTAAGTTTCTTTAAATCCTACATCCCAAGCCTGACAATGAAAATGTTCCAAAAATTATCCCAGCCTGAACTGTCCACCTTTGCTTTGCCTCCATTATCAGTCAAATACCTCCCTCTGCTCCAGTCAACTCATATTCTTTCCTAAATTCTGTGCTCAGCCCACGTTTCATCCCTGCCTGAAACAACAGCTTACCTTTTCCTTCCTAACAGTCCAAAGTCCACACTGACAATTCAGTTCCACAAATGACTACTGACTCCCTATTGGCCTGCATGCATCTTTTTTTTTCCCTCTGATGTCTCACAATGGCTTTTCCTTCCAACACAGTTTGGGTTTTTAATCACAGATCATCATGTGTTATCATCCGCCAACAATGAGAAGGGAAACCCATCACAGATGGGGAGCCGGTTACACATGACTTTTGTGTCTTTCACATTTCATGACACTGGATTAGACACAGAGAAGGTGCTCAAGGCACAATGGTGACTTTTAAAAAGTCCACCAATGAATTCAGTAATTCATCACTTCCCAAAATCTAAGACACTTCTGCTTGCTACAGAAGCAGGAGCTGTGGTTCCCCACCTCTCAACAAAGGGATCAAAATCTCCTCTCCTGCCATTTTTTGCTTATTACACAGAATCTGCCTTTCCAACTGAAGCTTCTGGAGAGATTCCCATGGGAAGCATACATCCCTTCAACAATGCCTTTCACTGCAGTGAAAAGTTAGAGGATGCTCCTATCCGTTTCATGTGTTTGGGCAGCAGAACCAACAAGACTTCCAATCAGTTATAGCTGCCATATATTCCTTCCAACTATGCACTTTAGAACCATCCCCCCCTCAGACCCCTCCTTACGACACCTCATTTCCATTGTATCTTGTAATTTCCCTTCCATATATAATATAGTAACGGTATACAGTGGATGCCACATACCACGCTATTTAATGAGGAAATGGAGACTCAGAAGGGGTAAGCACCTTCCCCAAGTAACCCAGCTTTACAAGCTGCAAAGCTGCTACCAGAAGTGGTCCTGCGATGACCCACTCATCACAGTCATGGTGAAGGTATGTCCTGGAATATAGCCTGGAAACAAAGAGAAAAAGCCTGCTACTCAACATGTTGTCTGCCTTCAGTTTCTCTCATTAAATGAACATCCAACTTCCAAAAACAAGCTTTACAATAGAAATCTGTGACTGGTGGTCACGCTGTCCACGAGTCCAGTGCTCTTTCAGGAACAGGCATCTACTAATGCACTCAGCGGGGATCATGCTTTCTCCCTGGAATGTGCATCGCTGTTGCAGAGGCAGAGAAAGGGGAAACAAAGGAGACCCTTAGAGTTCAACAAAACAGAATTGAAGATCAACTCTGCCACTTACACGTGCATGACCTTGGATGAGTCCCTCAGTCTGGGCCTCAGTTTCCCATCTGTAAACTAGGCACTGGCCCAGATGACTCTAAGAGCCTCTGCAGTTCCAACATCCTCTGATTCATGAGGCAATGATAAGAACCAAGAGCAACAAGTTACGCCGTTCTGAGCTGGCAGGCACTGCCACAATCTCTTGTTTTGTCTGAGGAAATTAAACAAGAATGGGGAGTTGCTGTCTATCTCGGTGCTGGCTGCTATGTGCAAGGTTGGGAAAGACTCATTGCTGGAATTCTTCCCTGAGCAGCTTACTGTTTATATTCCGAAAGTGTAATCTGGCAGAACCAAGAAGACAAGACAGTATGCCTACAAATGTAAAACAGTTTGCATTTTACCAAATCTTTGACTTGGCTTTTCCTTTTAAACCAGGCTTTTATGAGAGAGGAAAAAAGAAATTTGAGGTTTTAAAATTATGCAAGCAAAATCCAACAGAATAGACTTACAGGTCCCCAAATGAGGATCAGATTTGATGATGAAAAGTCTGTGGGTTACTGGCATTTAATCTTTCCAATAAGTTAGGTTCTTTCGTGAATCCTCAAATTACAACCCCTTGAAGAATAACTAAAATATGACATTTTCTATTAGTCTTTTGGCAGAATCTACAAGAGAAAGATTCAGTGAACAGAACGAGGTCCCAATCTGAGTTGTATACTATTCAGAATATTAAAAAGATCATCCAACTTCATCTTTTTCATTATTCTCATAATCAGCCAACCTTTCAGTGAGTGGAACTACGAAAATTAAAAGGGCACATCTCATCTTTGATCTCCTCCCTAGACTGCATGCAATGATGTCTTCCTAGAAGGACAAGCAGACTTTTTTCTTCTGATTTCATCCCATTCAACAGCAGGTCTGACCCCAAGAAGTGAAAATCTAAGGTTTTATACTGGTTGTTTCAATTAGGCTCCGAAAGAATCTTTTTAGGATAAGATGA